TTCCAATAATTGTCGTCGTCTCGTGTTCTTGTGTTCCTTCGTCAATCTCCTTTCATTTCATTCACAGCTAAACTTCCAGTACAGGTTTTTGGCTTCAAAGTTCCTGTGTGCTAAATGAGTTCCGGCTTGCTATTCTCGGACCTCGAAGTGAGTTAGTCATTTTTCAAAAAGAAAAAGCAAGGAACAGCATAGTGGTAAATTAAAGACTAGAAGTAGTGGCTACAAAAACAGCATTCTGATTAGCCCCATTTCTTTATCGTTGAGTATTGATGGAGGATTCCCACGAGGAATGTCCTGAAGTGAATTTCTTTGCCGTTTCTCATTTTCCCCTGTGCTCCCATAGAATTTCTATTGTTATTATAGAGTTTTTAAGCTCGATAACGATGTAAAACAGGAGCAGGTCCAAGAAAATGAGGACCCAAACGCTACTGAAGACTTGCTGGTGGTACTGCTTTTTCCTCTTTCGTTCTTTAGGCTGTTGTTGTCTCATGTAACAGTACTTTAATAAGCCGTGATTCCTTCGTTATCTACCAACTCTCCTGTGTTTTAATATAGTTTCTACCATTAATACAGGATTTTTAAGTGCCAGAGGGAAGTAAAGTTTGAGACGATGGAGGAGTTTGAGAACGTAAATGCCAGCGAAGAGGTTGGTGATGGTATTTTTTCGCTTTCGCCCTTCATACTTTTGTTACTTCATTCAACTGTAGATAAGCGTCCAATAATTACTTTGTAGTTCACAGTGTTACTTGTTCTCAAGTTCCGTTGCTATTGTTACTGTAGATTTTTTAAGTTCCGAAGGAACATCAACCGTGAAGAGGTTGAGGGAATCGAGGATACAGAGGGTACTGAAGTATTAATGATGGTAATCGATTTCCTTTCTTTCTGGACTTTTCTGTTATTTTAGACCGCGGGTAAACATATCGACATTGTTTCGCTATTTATCACATCCTCTGTATTCTCTTCTCGTTTCGACCTTTAATATAAAATTTTTAAGTGCGAGAGGGAAGTGAAGTGGGAGGTCACTGAAGAAAATGATAACATAGGCGCTTCCGAAAAATCGATATCGGTAATTTTTCTCTTTTGTTTTCTCCTTTTATTGTTCCGTATAACCATAGATGAAAACACTTTAGATGTTTCATTGCCTACGATGTTTGTTTTGTTTTCATACCCTTTTTAGTGTTACTGTAGCTTTTTAAGTTTAACAAGGGCCTTATGCAGGAGGATACGGAAGAAAATGAGAACGCAGACCCAAACGAAGAACTTGTAGTGGTAAGTTTTGCTTTCTGCCCAATCATTTTGTTGTTTCCGTTAAATGTGGGTAAATAAAGTGGAACTCCTTTATCAAGTTCTCTGTGTTTTCTTATAGTTTCTACAGTTAATATAGAACTTTTAAGTGTCAGAGGGTACTGAAGTTGGAAACGGTGGAGGATTTTGAAAATGCAAATGCCAGTGAAGAGGTTGGTAATGGTAATTTTTCTCGTTTCCTCTCCATACTTTTGTTGCTTCATGTAACCGTAGACAGGCATTTCACAATAGCTTGGTCACTTGCCGTGTCACTTCTGCCTACATTCCATTTCTTTTATGACGGTTGATTTTTTAAGTTCGAGCAGGGCATGGAGCCGGAAGTGTTTGAAGAAATCGAAGAAGCGGATGGTGCTGAACAATTGATGATGGTATTCTACTTCTTTTCCTTCTTCATTCTTCTCTTTTATTTGCCCATGGGTAAACATGCCGCAGAAGTTCCTCTGTTTATTACGTTCTCCATATTTTCTGGTCGTTTCTAGCGTTATTTTTTAATAAGAATAAAATAATCGTTAGAACGCGTGTGGCGCAGTGGTTGGAGGCGCCACTACGACATGCACATGAAATCGAACCCCGCGCCCATGACCCACCGAGCTTTCCATCCCTCCGGGGTCGGCAAATTGGTGCCAAACTTGTCTGGGAGGATAGCAGCACTGGCTCGATACATCGATAGGCCATCACGAGTCATTGTAAAGGCCAGATATGCATCTAATCACCTCCAACGATACTCATTGAAGTCGAATGCATGGCGCATCCCTTAGTGATTGATCAACTCCAAGAGCTTTGTGTTTTCTCCTTAATTCTATTGTTAATGTCGAATTTTTAAGCGCTACAAGGAAGTGAAGCGTGTGGTCAGTGACCAAAATAAGAACGTGGACGCTTCCGTAGAATTTATGACTGTAATTTTTCTCTTTCGTTTTCTCCTTTTATTGTTTTGTATGGCCACAGTTAAACACGCCGCAGATACCTTGTTGTTTACCACATTCGTTTTGTTTTCATACCGTTCTTAGTGCTATTGTGGGTTTTTTAAGTTTGAGGAAGAGCTTATGCAAGAGGATGCCGAAGAAAGTGAGAACCCGGACACTACTGAAGAAGATTTAGTGGTAAATTTTGTTTTCCGCTCCTTCATTCTGTTGTTTCGGTTAAATGTGGCGAAATAAAGTGGAATTCCTTTATCAAGTTCTCTGTGTTTTCATGTAGTTTCTACAGTTAATATAGAACTTTTAAGTGCAAGTGGGTAGTGAAGTTGGAAACGGTGGAGGATTTTGAGAATTCAAACGCCAGTGAACAGGTTGGTGATGATTTTTCCTTGTTCGCTCTCCATACTTTTGTTGTTTCATGTAAACGTAGAGAAGCATTCCAAAATTGCTTTGCCATTTGTCATGTGGCTTTTATTTCTATTCCCTTTCTACTGTCACCGCTGATTTTTGAAGTTTGAGGATGGCATGGAGCGGGAAGACATTGAGGAAATCGAGGAAGCGGACGGCGCTGAAGAATTAGCAATGGTAATTTACTTCCTTTCCTTCTGTATTCCTCTGTTTTGTATGGCCATGTGTAAACATGGCACAAAAGTTCCACGGTTTATTAAGTCCTCTATATTTTCTTGTTGTTTTTATCGTTAATATAGAATTTTCAGTGCAATAGGGAAGTGAATCAAGAAGTTAGTGAACAAAATGAGAAAGTGGACGCTTCCGAAGAATTTACGACGGTGATTCTTCCTTTTCGTTTTCTTCTTTTCGTTCTTTCGTTGGACCGTGGATAGACAACCCGTGCTTTGCAGTTTACCATCCTCCTTTTATTTTCATAGCACGTTTAATGCTGTTGTAAAATTTTTAAATTCGAGAAGAAGGTGAAGCATGAGGAGATTGAAAAAAAAAGGAACACGGATGCCAGTGAGAGATTGGTAGTGGAGTTATTTTCTTTCTTTCTCTATATTTTTGGTTATGTTGGATAGTCATTGGTAGACGTACTGTATTTGCTTTGTTATTTATCATTTCTCTTGTGCTTTCATACACCAACTGTTATTGATGAGGAATATTATTGCACAGTTTTTAAGTTCGAGGAGGAAGTGAAGCGGGAAAAGGTTGAGGAAGTCGTGGAAGGAGACAGCACTGAAGAATTAGCGATGGTAATTTTTCCTCTTTCTTTATCTATATTTCATTCTTTTGGAAAGCTGTTGGTAAACATGCTGCACTTTCTTTACAAAAAGGGCGGCTTTCTATTCTAAGAATAGAATGGGAGGCACTTAAGATGTATCGGTACGGTTGGGTTTACTTGTAACGCTAAGAGAATTTTGAGTATCAAAAATCGCGCACGGGTCTTACCTGTTTGTACACATCCTTTTGGTAATGAACATCATCGAAATAAGCAACCCCTTTGTGGAGTTATTTTGTTTTTATCATTCTTTTTTTCTAAGGAGGCTGAGAAAGACGCGGAAAACACTTCTCACACTCTTGAATTAAAGAGACAGAAGGAGTTACGCAAGAAGATATTGAGGGAGAAACGGAGAGAGAAAGAGAAGCGTTTGAAGATGCTGAAGGAGAAGCGGAGAGAGAAGAAACGTATAAGGGAGATGCGAAGACAGGCGGCTATAAAGAACAAAGTGGGCTTTTATTTTTGTGTACCTTAGAGTAACTTTGTATTTGTGTCGGAGTTGCACATGGTGACTGTCTCATTTGACTCTTGCTATATCCACATTTAGAATCTCCAACTGTTCTGTTGCTTTGTGTGCAACAGAATGTTTACAGAAGAGAAGAGCATGAAGGAGCACGTCATGGAAAAACACCTTGCTTTTGAGGAGGTTAATCATATGCTACCATAAATTTACTTTGTGTGCATTTTTGGAGGGTGTTCACCGGTTTCACTGTGCGGTTTTTTTTGAGGCGTACACTTTCAAGTGTACTAAATGCTACAGACGGTTTAAACATAAGAACCATTTACGTCGCCATGAAGAGACGCACAAGGACACAACATTCACTTGCCCAATTTGCAAAAGGGAGTTGAGGTAGATTTCAAGTTCAAGAGATAAATAACAGAAGGAATAGCTGTCGTTTCACAAGTGATCAACAATAACGGCATGTGTTTTCCGAAATGCGCGTTAATTTTTCAATTGCCAATGTGCAGGAGTGCTTGAGGAACTTGTACATCGGATTATATCATCTTATATATATATATATATATAAATATATCATGTATTTTATATATATATATTTATACAATTTTATATACACATGAATATATAATGTATGTTGGTTTATATCACTTATATCAACTCATCTTTATACTAAGCTAATGCGCGATTAGAGCGCGTCATACGAGTACTTTAAAATATATTTTTCAGAGAGGAAATCTCCCTCAAAATTCATTTGAGCAAAGTCCACAGCTGTTCAATAGATGGGAAGAAACTTTCTAAAACTTTTGGATGCAAATGCGGCAAAAAATTTGGTCTAAAAGAAGAACTTTGTGTACGTTTGTCATGTAGGTTTGCGTAGTTTACTAGTATTCTAACCGTTTTATATTGCAGCGACATCGCTATTATTGCGGAAACAGAGAAAGGATAGCAGAACAACGGCGAAGAGCTCGTCAGGAACTTGATGCAGCGTCGTCAGTAAGCAGTACACGATCTGCTTCGTCAAGCTCTGAGCCGACAAGCAACCCTGCTCTTGGCAGCTCATCTGGACGGCCAGTGAAGGGTTAATTTTCTGTTGATGAATAATGATGTAGCTACTTTTCTTAAAGTCTTAATGTCGGGACTTGAATTAACGGAAGCGTTGTAGACAAGTCTTGTCCGTTCTGCTTCCACGTGTACGCATCAATGCAGTCACGAAGACGACACATACAACAGATACATCCAGAGAGACTGCATGAAGTAGAAGTCGACCAGCATCTATATATTAAAGTCAATTCGGTGAGGGATTGTAGTTTTCCGATTTTTATATGCGATTAAAGCAAGTGGAAAAAGATATAATTCATTCTTTAGGCATCCCTACCGTACGTCTGTGAACTGTGCGCTAAAACCTTTGCTACTCATGCTTCTCTCAGCACTCATAAGAAAAGAATTCACGAAGACATGAATAACCATGAATGTATGATCTGTTCTAGAAGGTAATTTTATATTGTGTGAAGCAATTCCATTTCTTCTACTTCCTAATTTTTTTTCCTTTAGATATCCACTACCAAGTGAGTTGCGGAAGCACATGAAGCGCGTACACGGGCAACCAAGTGAAATGTAAAGGTGTTAATACCCACTTAGATCATCTTATATAGTTAAAGGCCATTTGCAGTTATACTTTGAAATTTTTTAGATTTTGTTAACGGGTTTTACCTCTGTAAGTTTTGTTATCTTTTGTGCCGTTAAGTTGTCCAGATATTAATGAAGGATTTCATCGTGTATTGTTTAAAATGCTACATGGCATCACAGAATAAATTGTGTTAATCGGAATAAAAACCATTAGAATCGAGAGTTTTCGTGTCTAAAAAAGAATTACGTATTCTATTTGCATAAAATTCTGGAGGAAATAAAGTCGTTGAAGGTAGTTGGCCTCGACTTGGCTTCTGAATCATTTTTTGCACGTGGAGTTTTTCAATTGCTTTAAGAAATTGGTGAATGTGATGGGCTATCCTGGCACAAGTAGTTCAACTTTTCCAGAGTCGATAGTGGGAAACGTGGTCGGGCATTGGTACTCTGACGTACTGTCAGCTTGTACAGCATACGTTTGTCAAGCTTTCTTGGATTTTTAGTCCGCTCCAGATGCTGCGGAATTTCGGTTGTATCTTTGCTTCAGATTCTTCCTTATGTAAGTAACAGAAGGTAGAAGAAGGAAGTCTGTCAGCATCCTCATCATCAACGTCGAATACACCATGGAAACATTTTCCGACCGAACATTAACAACCAGGTGGGCCATATCTCAGTAGTATTTTAAATCCTTTACGGTGCTCTAAATTGACATTTGAATTCGTGAAATGGAATTTGTTGAGTCTGGTGTTTTCATATCTCAAACAAGAAGGGTAAACAACCTAGGTAGGGCTGCCGTTTGTTTTGCTGAGACCAAAAATTACGTGTACTCGCTTGAGATGTTCTGGTTTTTTCGACAATAAAGAGTAAATTTTCGGCAGGTTATGAACTTATTGGGATAAGATCATCACAAGATTATAGAATATGCTCTGTTTGACCCATCTACATGTAGAATATTGTCACTTATGCCCCACTTTACCGTATTTCTTCTGCCAAACATTGCTGTCAGAATTTGGGAGGAATTTGCTATATATATGTATGTATGTATGTATGTATATGTATATATGTATGTAAGCTGTAATGTGCAATATGTTGAGTGTACTTATATGTACTTAGTGTACTTACATGCTGTATGTACTAAAAATGTCCTGGTGTTTCTTGCAGCCAACAATTCCATGCGGTAATCATGACCTATCATAACAACTGGGAATGAAAAAGGGAAAATTAGCGGTCAAGTGTTGAACTTTGCATGTCTTACACAGAAGTACGATGCCACTTTTAGTTAATTTTCGATAACTTTCGTTAACCAAAAGCTGGCAACTTGTTGCAGTCGTGGAGGAGACAAGTTCAGAAACTGGTGGCCTCAATAGATGGCTGGGATTTCGTTTAGCTTTCAGCAGAAAGCAGTATCGGAGTTAATGTATTATACCTGAATATTCTAGAAGGTCCACGTGTGTAAGGGCCCGTTGTGACGTTATCGTCATTCTACACTTCTTCCGTCGATTTCTTCTTTTCACTGTTCTTTTATTCTTTATTACAGATTTCTAGCACTATGTCAAATTTCTGTAATGCTGCCCCAAGTACTGGTTTCTAATTTTGTTACATCATGTGACCATTCAATATCTTTTCCAGTGGAATATGTGCAGGTTCATCTCCGACAGAGGTAATATCGAAGCAAAAACAACTTTCGTTAATCAACGAATGTGTGGAAGATGGTGGAATGCGGTTCTGGATACCTATGAACTTGTGCCATCAATCGCAGTTGAACTAAGGAGCAACTTCGAACGCATGTAAGGTAAGAAATGTTGCGCGAGAATTTAAAGAAGGGCAGTTTCACAGTGATAGCTTATCATTTCAAGAAGAACTCATACCACATTTTTCAAATCTCATATGTTCTCATAATTGAAGTACCCACTGAAATGTTTGATTTCCACCCAAAAGAAAGTCATCATGGCTATTCCGATGAAGGAAAGGTGTTTTGTCTGACAAAGACGGCATTTCCTGGCTTCAGATTTGAAAACAAAAGTCCACTTGCTTGCCCTTGGGTCGGTTTTGTTAGGAAATTTGCCGTCTTATATTTGTTCCCCTTCCGTGGCTAAGAGCAACAAGTGATCCATGTGGGACATCGTCTCGTGAAAAGAACAGTTCCATTTGGTAGGCTATAAAAAGTAAATATGTCGCAGTACTAGTGCTCCAACCAGTATCTTCACAGCAAATGATATTAACACATTCCCTATCACGCATCATTTTCTTTGGCGGCTTCGTAGAAGTGCCCTCAATTTCTCGTTGTGTACGCTGTGAGTAAAATGTGACTCAGACAATTCGTTTTGCAACGTCTCCGTCCCTCAAAAAAAATGGCTACGCTAACTCCAGACTACTAACATAAATACGTTGAGCAGCACAGAAATGATCTAGAAAACGCATTCTTCGATTACTAGGCTAATAAGAGGTTGATAGAAAGAAATTTATTCTGTTAACGTCTCGACGTCTTCTTCTTCTTCAGAGCTGAATTGGTCCGAGGTCCACAGGTGGTCGTCCTTCCGATGCGGTTGTTTGTTGCCGCATGGAGTCAAGTGAAGTGAGTGGAGCACCGATTAAATGAAGAATCCCACTTGACGGTACCATCTTTTACGTGACTTTCGCATGACGAAGACGTCGAAAAAGAGAATACTCATAAAGTTTCGTTCTATAAGCCACATTATTTGCTTGCTTGGATAATTGGACGGCCCGTCCTCAGTGGTTGTGATGGCCCCAGCACAATCTTCTTTTCTCGGAGTCTTGTTGGTTTACCCATGGTGTTCCCTGGAGTCCCCGGGTCAGCCTGGTCAAAGCCTGCCCCAGGTCGTTACCACCACAAGCAGTTGCCGCCCTTGTAGATCAGAAGGAAATTTGCCACCATGCGACTAATTTAATACTAGGACAGTGATGAGTCTTGGTTTGGTTTACTCTCAGTTAGGTTTTCTGATGGAAACGCCGTACTCCTTCTTAGCATGGGAGACTCTGCTAGGGGATGAATTCTCCGCTGTACATCGCAGCCCGACACCCAAGAACACCTCGCAGCCACGGTAAGGCGGTGTACCGCGGCAAGGAGCTATATTATTTATTCTACTTCATTGGTACATATGCTAAGAAATCGCAGCGGCACCCATGTACTTGTGTTTGCAGTAAAGAAATCTCGGTGCAATCCCCATTCGTGATAATCTCGCTGGTAGAGATATTCTGATGATATCTTCAACGAAAATTCTCGGTAGGTGTATGAACAAACGCGGCTGAGACTAGTTTTTGTAGATTATAAAGTGCTGAAAATGGTCTTCGTAGTAAGAGTCCTTGTGCACCATCTACTATTAGCGGCTACTAGTTGGATGCAAAAATTAGCAAAAAAAAATTTTGTACGGGTAGATAGAAGATTGGAATGAAGATAACAGAGGACAAGAATTTTTAAAATATATGTTGGATAAAAAATGATAAAGGGTAAAGCTGTCTGCGTTGATTATTTCATGAGGAAGGAGTCATGCATTCAACTTCGCCAAGCAGCGTTAGAGGTAACCGTAATGCATATCTCGGGGTGATTGACCAACACCTGTATAAGAGCTCACTGCTGAGTGAAGCTCCCATTCGAACGGTGTTCCTTTCACTGGATTTAAGTCGATGTGGCTACGAAGACTCAGATCGGAGCGATCAGCTTGAGACCATCGACTCGGATATTCGGGACTCTGAAGCGCGGAAACGTTAGCCGAATAAAAGTTTCATATCACCCTCGTGTCAGCTCAGTCGTGTAGAGAAAATAATAACTAGTGGTTGCGCTAGTGCGACTACACATTACTGTACCATAAACTATGAGATATAGCAGAAGTTTTAAGGAGAAAATCTATGAAGAGAAACCAGCAATGCTATAAATAAAGCACACAATTTCAATATCGAACTAAGTGGTGAAAAAAAGCCGTCAAATACCATGTAAACTGCGCGCTTCAATATGCATCTGGGTAAAATATAACAGCTCTTGGAATAGCCACAAATTCTTGACACCAACTTATTATGAAGACAGCTAAGTGACCAATACCCTGTTAATTCACTGGGAAATGGCAAACAATTCCTATCGAAATCAATAAGGATCTGCATCGGTTTTAACAAGCGAATACATAGTTGTCCAAGAAACATATCAATTCTTGTAAAAGCGCAGAATATATCATAAATAACTAAAGTCAGCTTCTTTTAGGTGGCCATGCAAGCTGACGAAACGTCGAGTATATGGGGGTCAAGACGAAAAATCCCCTGACAGCCATCTCGTCCATTGTTTATTACGATAAGGTGGTCACTCTCTAATTCGAGTTCACGTGTCTCCTATTCTCCAAGCAATAAAGTTTTTCTTGCTGTAAACCCAGGGGAAACAGAGATTTACCATGCATTTTCGCTATATTACAATCTCTTCTATTTACGTTCTCGATCACTACATCTACGAACGGATGGGAAAGTTGACATTCAGTGGGCTAGTGGCGAAAAACTAAACTGAACAGTACGCTCGTTGCTTTTTTCATGATTTTGTTTACTTACCCTTCTGTGTATAATGCAGAAAAGGCAACAATAAATGAAGTTGTGAATTTGAAATGGGCAGGTATCGCTATATATTGGGGAACGTCGAGGCAATCTTTAGATAATTCTTTCTACTTCTGTTCAGGAAACACGAGGTGCTATTTTATTTCTTTATTTACGTACAAGCCAACGTTTCGGCGGATTTCGTCTTCTTCAGAGCCTGGGAATGTCAAGTTGACAGCAACCTGTTCGACCTCCATAACCAAGCAGAGAAAACGCTAAACCTAGATTTCAATCGCATTTAACACAGCTCTGCACACTCACCGCTTTCTATGAGTCTTCCACTGAGTTTATCGCGTGAAGACTGACCGCACAGAATTCATATGGAAGCGTAATGTGCTCCTCCCATAAGAATAACAGGTTTATATACCGTCCAATATCACGCGTGATAATGAGTCATTCCCCCTG